TGTGTTTGTCTGATGATTAGCCTGGGTTTTGGTGGGGTTTGCGGGAAGAATAGCATAGGGGCAAAGTGTCCCTTCTCAAACCATAGTAGAGAGCATAGGATATCTACATGACATCAGTCATGACACAGTCATCTTCATCACTTGGTTATCAAGAGAGTATTGGCAGCATATGTTTCCCTCTTATGTTACTTAGGTCTGTTTCTTTTCTCATCACCCCTTTCAGTGGAGCTATGTCATACCTGTACAGTACAACTAATTTCATCTGTCTCAGTCTGTATTCTATGCTGGCATCCTTTTGATGCTGCTGGTTGATGTGTATATTAGGGAAGTGTGTATGTTCGTGCTACTGTGCATACATTAATGTACATTCTTTGTAACATAAAGTTCTATAGGTCTTGGCAAATACAAGTATGCATCTGATATGGTTAAGCTTTGTATCCCCACCCAAATCTTATCTTGAATTGTAATTCCCATAATCCCCATAATTTCCACAGGTCAGGGGAGAGACCAGGTGAAGGTAACTGGATCATGGGGGTGGTTTCCTTGATGTTGTCCTTGTGATAGTGAGTGGGTCTCAGGAGATCTGATTTCTTTCTTTTTCTTTCTTTCTTTTTTTTTTTTTTTGAGATGGAGTCTTGCTCTGTTGCCCAGTGGTGTGATCTTGGCTTACTGAAACCTCTGCCTCTCGGGTTCAAGTGATTCTCCTGCCTTAGCCACCTGAGTAGCTGGGATTACAGGTGCCCACCAGCACACCTGGATAACTTTTTGTGTTTTTAGTAGGGATAGGGTTTCACAATGTTGGCCAGTCTGGTTTTGAACTCCTGACCTCAGGTGATCCCCTGCCTTGGCCTCCCAAAATGCTGGGGTTACAGGCGTGAGCCACCGTGCCCGGCCTGATCTGGCAGATTTATAAGCTTCTGGCATTTCCCCTTCTTGCACTTATTCTCTCTCCTGCCACCCTGTGAAGAGGTGCCTTCCACCATGACTGTAAGTTTCCTGAGGCTTCCCTAGCCATGCAGAACTGAGTCAACTAAACTTCTTTTCTTTATAAATTACCTAGTCTTAGGTATTTCTTCATAGCAGCGTGAGAACGGGCTAATACTTCATATAACACACAGTACCATACAGAACAGTTCCTTCACTCTAAAAGTCCCCTGTGTATCCCTTTCTGGCTGACAACCCACCTCAGCTCAATTCCTGGCAAACTTGCAACTATTGTTTATCCCTATAATTTTCTAGAATGAATGGAATAATAAAATATGTCATCTTTTGGGTTTGACTTCTTCCATTTGCATTTACATTCAACTATGCCACTGCATTAATAGTTGTTTCTATCATTGAATAGTATTCCATTGTATGGATGTGCCATGGTTTTATTCACTCACCGACTAAAGAACATCTTGGTTGCTTCCAAGTTTTAGTGATTAAGAATAAAGCTATTTAAACATTCACACACAGATTTTTGTGTAGACACAACCTTCATAAACCCTTTGGTAAATACCTAGGAGTACAAATTTTGGATTGTATAGTAAGTCTATGTTTAACTTTATACAAAAAACTGGCAAGTTGTCTTCCAAAGTGACTGTACAATTTTGCATCACCACCAGCAACGAGTAAGAGCTTCTGTTCTGCATTCTTACAAGCATTTGTTATTGTCAGTTTTTCTGTATTTTCACCATTTTAGTAGGTGTACAGTGGTATCTTGCTGTGGTATAAACCTACTTTAAGTGCTCTGTTGTTCCTTTTCAAATTTAAATGCTACTGAAATTTTTAATTTAAAAAACTTCATGTTAAAAACCAAGCTCCCCAGATATACTATTCATAAAACCTTATCTACAGATGTCAGATCATGTAAGCCTTTTTATTTTAACTTAAAATAAGTTATTTGTTCTAATTAGAAAAGTATATATATACTTTTGTATATACTTAATATGTGTGTGTTACATTATTGGTAATGTGTGCACATATATATATTATATATATATACAATATACATTATTGGTAATGTGTGCACATATTTATATATGTGTGTGTGTGTGTGTGTATATAACCAATAGCTTTACCATCCAGAGATGAATACCAATTTTTTCCAATTCTGTGTGTGCACATGTTCAGATTAAAACACATGTAAAGACCTGAAGTCTAAAGTAGGTATGAGTCTACAATGTTTGAGGAAAAGAAAGAAAGCATGGTGTAAGGAAAGAATGACAGTAGGCAAGGAGGTGGTAACAGAAGATGAATTTGGAGACAGAAGTCAGTTCATGTAGATCAGGGATTCTCCAACTTCGGTGTGTCTTAAAATCATTAAGAGGGCTTATTAAAACAGAGGGGAGCCCTGTATCCCTAGGGTTTCTGACTCAGCAGATCTAGAGTGGGGACTGAGAATTTGCATAACTAATGTGCAGGGCCACACCTGAGAACTCCTGTCGGGCCTGCTACACTATAATGAGGAGTCTGATTTTTAGTCCAAATAAATTGGAAGACATTGGAACATCTTAAGGACAGAATGTTGTGATTTGTTTTGAATTTTAAATAGATCATGGTGACTGAGGTGTGAAAGTCAAATCAGAGACAACAAGGTGGTAAATGGGAAAATAGTAAACAGATTCATTATGTGAAATGATGGTGCCTTGAATTAGGGTAGTGGGGATATTAATATATGGATGGATTCAGAACAAATACAGAAAAAGCTCAGAAAAGTTGCAAATGGATCTGGTGCTAGGGTGAGAAAAGGAGAAACAAGGGAGGTGTCTAGGTCACAGGCTTATTTAATAATTGCCTCTATGGAAGGCTTTATGGGGATATAAGTCATAAGTTCTATTTCAAAAATATGTGGTTTGAGGTATCAATATACAATTGAAAATATTGCGTATGGAAGTTGGATACACAAATCTGAATCTACAAGAAAAATAGTAACAATTTGTAAGTCATTAGATACAAATGTTATTTATAATCTTGGAACCTATTGAGGTCTTTAGTACACATTAATGGTTCTCAGGCAGGGTTGATTTTGTTCCACCCTCCAGGAGACATTTAGCAATATCTCAAGACATTTTTTATTTGACTAGAGGTTATGGATATTGTTAAACATCATAAAATATACAGAAAAGCACCTGACAACAAAGAATTACCCTGCTCAAAACATCAATAGTGCTAAGGTTGGGAAACCCTGCAATAGACAGAAAAGTTGTCTTTCTAGTATGAAGAGAGCAAGGGAGCATAAGCGGTTTCTCAGATATAAAATTGCATTGAATATATATATATATATGTCACTTATGTGTGTATATATATGTCACTTATGTATCAAATTTAGAAACTGCTTAACTATATTATTTGACCAGCTGATAAACAAATTAAAAACAGCTCAAGAGTTACTTATAGCATTAGATTTAAAATGGCTGTTGTTAAACAGTGAGATATATTACAATAAGAAAAGTAACGTTAATTTTACCTTTAAAATATAATAGTTTAAATGAAAAACTCTGATTAACAAAAAGACCATATGCTGTCTCCAAAGTTCTTGTATTAGATTATGCTATCTGTACACCTTTGTTCAATGAAAACAAACGCACAAATTCATAAGCACATGACTGAATGAGCAGTAACACAGCTCTCTTAGGTATTAACAAATACACGTATCAAGAAAATGGAAGAGAAAATCTGGATTATGAATGCAGACTCAAAATCTCTGGAGTGTAGATACAGACTTGCAAAATCCCTAGAAATAGAAAAGTTCCAAGAGTGTAAAGGAGGTAGAAGAAGAGGTTCTGAAACTAATAGAAATCCTGACTTCAGTTTTTTAAAAGAATTCTAGTATACAGAATGATCCTAGCATCTTTTTGCATCTAGCACTGTACAAGTAGTCCATTAATACCAGAAATTTTCAAGTAAGACTTCTGAAGGTTTTATTTTCTGGAAAATATCTCTGAATACAGTCTTCAGGTCTGGGTAAGATAGATTCACATTACAGAGGTTGAGTGTGGTGGCTCATGCTTGTAATCCCAGCATTTTGGGAGGCTGAGGCAAGTGGATCACTTGAGGCCAGGAGTTCAAGACCAACCTGGCCAAGATGGTGAAACCCTGTCTCTACTAAAAATACACAATTTAGCCAGGCAAGGTGGCATGTGCCTGTGGTCCCAGCTACTTGGGAGTCTGAGGCACGAGAATCGCTTGAATCTGGTAGGTGAGTCGCAATGAGCTGAGGTTATGCCACTGCACTCCAGCCTAGGCAACAGAGCAAGACTCTGTCTCAAAAAAAATAAAAATAAAAATAAAAGTAAACAAACATTTAAAAATTCACATTACAGAAGACATCTTTATACAGCCTACTCAATTAGAACATCTACTTCATTTGTAAGTCTGAAGATGACCTTTCACACAGATTTACCTAATGTTAATGCTTTTACTGCCAGCACAAGCTGAGTATAGTAAGGGTATACTGAGATTAGAAGGTAAATACATTCTAGGTATGAAGAGGTGACTACAGGAAAAGAACAATTTAATGTTAAAAGATGTGAGAGAAAGGCCTTTTCATGGGGAAAATGGAAAAGATAAAAGAGATAGATGCACTTTGGAGATGTTCTGTGATTAATCACAATGAACATGAAGAGCAGATGACTTCAAATATAGAGATGATCCTTTGAACCCAGGGACAGAAATACATTACATGAGAATTACCCTTTGAAGGTGGCCAGCACCATTCACATTCAATGGCCAGTGGAGCACACGTGTGAGAATGACCGAGTTGGTGGCAAGGAATTTGTATTTACCCTTTACACAACCAAATCCTACCACAATACTTTCTGTGTTACAGACAATTAGATTTAATAAATTAGAGGTGTAAACTGGGCTTGTGGGAAATAACAAACGATTTTATGTAATTTATGAACATAAAGTTCACACACTGCATACTAGTCTACCTTAATAACTTCTTAACTACCTTCTTAACTTAAGAAGTTAAAACTATTCTACCCTGGACACACAGGCTGACCACAACTCACCTTTCCCAGTTCTTTATCTTCCAGGGCCAGAACTCCAGTGCTTTCGGTGAAGAGTTTCACTTTGACCACAGGCCGAGGATGGGTGGTGGTGAAATCTCCTTGAGTCCCCCATCTGTAATGAAGCAACAAAAATGTTTCTTAAAATGCAGTATTAATTTTTTTCCCCAAGGAGATGTGTCTCCATAGAAGGCAAATTAAACAATACAGAATCATCTGTGCTCAATGAGCTTTTTATCTTTGCTTTTGTTTCTAGCAGATGGCACAGTTGAGAAGGAAAAGAACAATAAGCTTTACAGCTTGTAATAGTTACTCAGCTGTTCAAAAAATTAGCATGTTGGACTACAAAAAATAGCATGTTATGAGAATTTAGGTTAAGATAAAGCAATATAGTTGTAGCTATTGAAATCTATTTATTAATTCAAATGCAAATTATAGCACCATTTTTAGTGGCAGCTGGGAAAAATTGCTGAGAGTTTGTTTACATAAGAGATAGTTTCTCAGAAAATGACTTTTATATACTAAAGACTTTACCCCATTTCTTTTTGACAGGCCTTTATTAAACATTATCTTTTTTTTAAAGTAAGCATAATTATCTCAGATCTATTACTTTATATGACTTTTAAAGCTCCTGTCAAAAAGAAAGAAATATGCGTCATAAGAATCTGAATGTTTTGTAGTTAATTTCACACTACATTCTCTTAGGAAGGGAATAAGTCTGTTGATATCTGGCTTTTAAAATCATCACAACAAAATAACATGTTTTCTTGGCTTGTCTTTTAATTAATAGCATCTTGTCTTTACTGCAGACCAGTTCATTCTAGCTGATTTACAAACTTAACTGGCACACACCTGATATTAAAAAATCTTATCAATATTTCTCACAACTCTGTGAGATCAGATGCAATGAGACTCAGCACAGCATGAAGAAGATGCCATTGAGCAAAATACCACAGAAGAGAAAAAAATGAGATTTAACAAAATACAGATTCATGTTAAAAAGAAAACAACAAATAAATATCAATTCTCTTATGCTGTCTTGAAAAAACAATTCACCATTTTCATGGAGCTGTCTATATTTTATTTTATAAATCTCATCCAGAGAGCTTACAACATACAGAAAACTCGAAAAGCAAGTGTAATAAAAATTGAACAAAAAATTGTGATTGCCTTCCTCTCCTATTACAGCATTTATAAATGTGTACAGTAAAGCAGAGACCATTTCAATGACTGAAGAAGCTAGTATCTAGATGAAGTCTGTTTTTTGAAACATCATATGCCAGAGGGAAGAGAAGATTCAATTAGGGAAGAAAAGCAGCTTAATTTCTATTTTAGACTTCCAGAATGGGGTTAGCAAAGAGTCTTTTTGCCATTTCATATAATTAAGATGGTTTACATAAAGCAACAGTAAAATAGAAAACAAAAATAGATTCAGAACCAAAATAAGGCATAAAGAAAAATTCTCAATTTAGTGTATGGAATCTTAAGCCTTGAATATAGTCAGGCAATCTGGTTAACAGCCTGGGAGCTAATTCTCATGATGTAACCTTTTTAATTTAATGTCACATGGTTAAATTTAGAAGACTAATAACCTTGGGAGACATTTTCTTATAACTGAAGTAGAAGATTTTTGATAGTCATATAGAAACAGTCTAATAATTTTCCGTAGAATTTGCTTTTCAAAATTCTCCCCATAAAACTTCTATGTACTACATTGATATTTTTTCTTTTAGTTTCAAAATCCTTTGAAAGTATTTATACTAAATGTTCATTTGTAATTCCCAACCTTCTGCAATACATGATTCTTCAAATAGAAAAGTGAGCTTTGTCTTTTAACCTGGTCTTTCTGAAATGCATTCCAATTCCACTTTGCTGGATAGAATAAGACAAATAACAATGAATGTGGGGGAAGAAAAAAAACTGTTCACTCATGGTTCCATGAACTTCCAGAAAACTATCTTTTACCTTTGATCCTTCACAGACATGTATATTCAAAAACTATTCTACAATATTTATCACTATAGCACATTTCTCATTTATACATCAAAATATTTTTATACAACGATGTATTTTTAAAGTGTCCATAAAATGAGATTCAGTTAAAGAATAATGATAAAGTGAAAACCAACATTCCTGCCATTCAGGTAAAATGGGGAATGTACTAGAACATCAGGAAAGTCCTCATGTGCCCCTGATCTCATCTTCCTCTCCTCTCCACCCTCACTACTCTGAAGTAGCTAGCACCCTGAATTTTATATTTATCACTCCCTTGAATTTCTTCTTAAAGGGAATATTTTCAGTATTTTACCTCTAAGTGTGATAATTGCTCTAGGTTTTTGGTAGATAGTATTTTATAGTTAAAAGAAATTCCTATATTTATTAGACACACACATAAATATATCAGAATATATGTGTGTATATATGTAATATATGCATATAATATATATAATATATAAAAAAATATATATCACAATTATATATGGAGATATGGTATGTATATACATATATACATATCTCATTCATATCACATACATCACAATATCATATATAACATAATCCTAACATACATACATAATATACATAACAATATCATATACATAACATACATTAATATCATATACATCACAATATCATATACATATGTATATAACATATGTGCATATATACATACATTCGCACACATAGAAAGATCCAGAAATGAGTGCTCTAGTTTATCAAACATTTCCCTACATTTATTGAAATAATCTGTAATTACAGACTACTCTATTGTCTTCCATTCTTGAGATAAACTTAATTAAAAAAATACTAGAATGAGTAGGCTAATACTTTGTTCAGCCTTTTATATAACGTCCATTATTGAGACTAGCCTGTAGATTTACTTTCTTGCGTTCTCCATGTTTGGTTTTATTGAATAAGTTGAAAAGTGCTGTATTTTTATTATCCGAGTTTGTCAAAAAATGATAATTATCTGTTCCTATAACTCACCTGTTAAACTGTTCAAATCTGATATTTCTGTATGGGAAGATACTTGCTAATGAAGCAATTTCTTTATTGGTTGTAGCTATAGAACTACTCAGGTTTTCTCTTTCTCCTTGGGTGAATTTTGATAAGCATTAAGTTTTATGTTATTTATTTTGTCTAAGTTTTTCAAAAGTACTTTTACAAAGTTGTGAATTTTTTTATCTTTGAATCCTTATAGCATCTGTTATGTCTTTCTTCATTCTTAATGTTTTATTTTTTCCATTTTTAAACGTGACAGAGGTTCGTCACTTTTATTGTTCTTTTCAAACTCCTGTCATTTGACTTTGACGATCCTCTCTACTTCATGTTTGTTTTTTATTTTATTACATTCTGCCCTTTGCTACATTATTCCAATTTATCTATTTTAACCTTGCTGTTTAAAATTTTAAGTTGAATGCATGGTCATTAATTTTAAGCCTTTCTTCCATTCTGGGCAAGCATTTGTGACTATAAATTTGCTTTAAACCCTTTAACTACAGCACCCCATAAATTTGCCAAGTGCTGTTTTTACTATTATTCAGCTGTTTACAGGTGTGATTTAGAATTTCTCTCTACATATATCTTTTCCTTTTTCTTATTAAGTTCTACTTTTATTACATCAGATTAGATAGCACAGCCTGCATAATATTGATCATGTAAAATAATTGAAATGGGCTTTAACTTCCAGATTTTGTGTGTAAGTTTTCCATGAGAGCTCACAAAGAAAAAAAAAAAAAAAAAATCTCCATTACGGGTACATTATTGTATTTACGGCCAGAAGTTCTACTCTGAAGGTTTAGGACTTCTGAGTCAAGGGGAGGAAATGTTAATGACCAACTCCTGTGAAATGAAGAAGGCTTAAATGATGTGTTCTCCGGCAAAGGAGAAGCTGAGGCACAAGAATACCAGCAGATCCTGACTGTAGCAGGCCGGAAGACAAAGCTTTTACTGACATTCAACAAAAATGTACAATTTTAAGGGGGTGCATAAATAGTTATATATAAATATTTATCCTTGTATCCTGGAATGTTGGGATTTATTGTTTCTTTATAAGAAACTATAAATAAGAAACTTTCTTATAAAGAAAATATAAATCCCAACATTCCAGGATATAGGCATAAATTGGCACCAATTTGATAATTTATTCTTTGGGAAATAAAGTTGAAAAGACACAGTTAGAAAATCATAAATTCTAGAATGAATAAATTAAAAACACAAGCCTCCCTGATTCCCCACCCGGCCAAAAAAAAAAAAAAAAAAAAAAAAAAAAAAAAAAATAAAGTTGAAAAAGACACAGTTAGAAATCATAAATTCTGTGAATGAATAAATTAAAAACACAAGCCTCCTGATTCCCCACCCATGAAAAAACAAAAATAAAAAAACATATAAGCAAGAAAAAAAAAAAAAAAAACAACAGCCTCCCTCACCCCCCCCTGATTCCCCAAAAAAAAAAAAAAAAAAAAAAAAAAAGCAGGAAAAGAGTAAAGAAGATAATAGGCCTATCTTCAATATTCACCAAGACGTCTCCTTATTTCCTACTTAATTGGCATGTTTAAACCCTCTCAGTAATTAATACCAGTTATTGTCTTCCCATTTTCTCAATATTTTACAATAAAAGAATACATTATCTTGCTGTCAGTTTGTGTTGACTCAAAACGAATTGCCTTTCTCCACTTCTCTGAATGTATTATTTATGAGGATTCAGAATTCCAAGGTAAATGTTCGAATGAATAAAAATCTACAAAGCACTTTTACGAGAACAGCAGGACTTCCTGGCTCTGAAACGCAGGGTAATTCATATACCAACTGAAATAACTGACATTAATTATGTATTTTCTATGAAATAAGGGGTACTGGAAATTTGTATCAGGACCCAAAATACATGTTCATATCTTTTAACCTAGTAAGGTTATTTCTAAGAAGTTATCCTATCAAAATAATTGTAAGTATTAAAAAGATTATAAGCAGAAACATATTCATGACAGCATTATGTATAACAGTAAACAAGAGAAATATAAAATATTAGGGGAACGATTATGTACATTACGGGGCATGTGATGAAATATTTTGCTGCTATTTATAATGATGGCTATAACGGCAACATAAAACCAAGCA